TTGCTAAGAGCATAGAAAAAGTTCCTTTATCAGATGGGAAGAACAGATAAGTCTGCAAAATCTTTTGGATTTTGTGTATGAGTTTCAGTCATGAGTGCTTAGCTGAGAAATTATTTTATCAATCATTGTGTACTGTGCATCTGAAAAACTAATGGAAACAGAAGATATGCTGTTGTCTGGATGAGTCTGAGCAACGATACTCCTCCATCTCTGTGTACTAGCTCTCAAGAGTTACTGTTTTACTCTATGACCACAGAATAAATTCTCGAGCACAAATTCCTATATGCCTTGATGCTGCATGTCAATTACTGTTAGAGGATGGTGATTAATTTTTTTTTCACATTTTCAGAACATTAGAGTTGTTTTGCCTTAAAATCCATTCTAGAAATACCAATCCAATTAGGTAAAGGAAAATTCTGTTGTTTTTCACTGCAGCCAAAATTTCACTTTTTTTTCTCCTTTATTTTAGTATCTGGACATCAGGGAATCCTCAAGTTTTTATATGGTAATAGGCACTATATAGTTTATTTTGAGGTAAGCCATTCTGTTAAAATTAGATCTCCAGTGGTCTGTTTTTCATAAAGTACAAAAGATTGTAGGAATTTCTGTAAATCAGTCTGAAAATGTAAGATTTTTTTTTTTCTCTAGTTCTGGATTCAGTACATGCTCACTAATCTAAAAAGCCCTGCATGAGCCTGAGCCTAATTAATTCAACGATCTGCAAACTCCATGAGTCTTATCATGGCAACAGCAACAGACGATGCTTCTTAAATTTACATCCTCTAGAGTGCACTTAATAGGATCAGAACAGTCACAGAGAAGAATACTCAGTTATGGTATTTGTTTCTACTAGTAATCGAATGGAGTATGATCCTTTCCATTTGCAGACACCCGCAGTCAGAAAAATAATATTTTCTTATTGAGCACTAGATTTGTCCTGAAATGTGTACAAAATGATCATACAAATAAGAAGACCTCAGGGAAGAGGAACTGTAGTTTTACTGCTGTTACAACTGGGGTTTTGCACAAGACAATTTATGTAAATAGCACCAGGAAGAATGATGGCATTTTGAAAATACATGTAGAAATATATATTACAGCAATCCAAGTGCCTTGAGATAAAGTGAAAAACCCCGGGGTCTTTGTGAGCTATTTTATGATTCAATTGAATTTTTATTTCAGTCCTTCTAATTAATTCTTAAGATTTAGTTCATAATAAGAAAGCAAGTTACACTTTTTATTTATTTTTTCAGTGTTAGCTGAAAAGGATTAGGACTGCATCCAAGTTTTTAAAGTACCAATGCACAAATATACTTTTTTATCTTAGAATCTACTCACAAAAAGTGCAGATGGCACCACCAATAAATGACTGTCATGGACCAAGATCTTTTCTATGCAAATGACTAATGCATCACTACAATTCTGTCAGAGCAACAGAAAGAGGCTGCCAAAAAAAAATCATATCATAATCAGTGAGTGTTCCTGATTGTTCACTGTTTGTAGCACATATGGATCTTCTGAAATACAGAACACCTACCTAAAAGAAATACTCAAATCATTATGCCTCATGAACTTTTGCATGTGTTTAGAATGCTTTAAGGAAACTATTTGGTCTACAGTAAACAGACATATTTTCCCAGTGTCATTACAGCAGTAACTGTGTTAAAAAAAGAAACAAAAAAAAACCCAAAACAAAACAAAAAATAAACAACACATTCAAATCTATGCTTTCATTTACAAAGCAATAATCAGGACACAGTTTGAAACTGAGCTGTCTCAAACCTTTCTCATAGGTTCCTTGAAATGTATCTATTGTGTGAAAAGAAGATATATATAATAAACATTTGAGGACAGGAAAGAAGAAGGAGATAATTATTTTACTTATAAAACTTTTTATTGTATTGATCATGGAACATAGCTGAATTCTAACAGCCCTGCATCCAGTATGAGAGATGACTAGACCCTAATGTCTATGTGGCAATTAAAAATATATATTTTTACATAAAACCCAAATGTTTAATAGAAACTGATAAAGTATCAAAAACTGCATGTAGAGCAAACAAAATTACAGAATTTTTTAAAAGTGACAAAAATAAAAGAGAGAAAATCTAGTTCTATTGAAAACCACTGATGAATTTGGAAGAGGAGGGTCAATGCAAAAATCAGATAAAATTAGAGTATTTCTTGAACATCCTTTTTAAATGGAAATACATGCTTAAATCAGTTCTTTCCACGAGTCCCTTTAGCACTGTGAGAAGAGCTTGACAGTTTTTTTGAGCTTTCCTCTCAAACTGGCGTGTTCAATATAGATGGGTTTGCCTGGGGAATGACCTCAGAGAGTCTCTCTCAACATTAAAACTCTATTGCAAAGCTTATACTCCAGAAAAAAAATGTTGGAAGTAGATGTTTGCTTTTTCCAGAGGCAGCCAGAATAAAAGAAGGAAAGTATCTTCAGTTGGGAGAATTCACCTGTCAATAGTTCAGATAAGTTTATTGTGCATTAGGCCTCCTCTATAACAAAGGCCATATTCCTGTTAATTCTGTTATAGTTTGAGTCATCTGAAGATACCTATCATTCAAGAGTTTGCAGTCAGGCAGGCCTCCAAGATTGAAGAGATTTTAAAGCTAAATTAGTCTCTACAATCATTTTGTCTGAAGTAACCTATTCGGATTATATCATACTCTTCAGAAAGTTATCCCATCATTATTTACAGATTTGAATCTATAAAGAAAGTGCTTTGTTCCCGTGGTGTTGCCATGTTCAGTGTTGAATTTTGTCTTGTCTGAATATGTCCAGTTAATTTTTCATACACTGAATCATGTTGGATTTTATTTTGTTAGAGTAAAAAATCACCTTTTTTTTTTTTTTCCGATTTTACATATTCCTATACTCTTAAAAAATCCTTTTAATCTGCTTTTAGATAAGTAAGTCAGAGATAGCAGCTTATATTCAGATGGAGAATGTTTTTGTACGTCAACCTGTTCTGCAGCGTGAATTCTTTCCTTCAATAAATATATAAAAAAAGCTTCTGCAAATAGTGTTCCACTCATGCCTTCATTATTGACATGTAATGAACTTGTCTTCCTATTCATCTCACCTAATGTTACTCAGTGTAAGGCTATGTATCTATTCTGAGATGGTCAGGGTTCCCTATGTAATTAAAGAAAAGCAATTCTACAGTGTCAATCATCCTATTTTAAGAAGGATGACTCACCCTCTGGAATATTTGTATCTCTTAACTATACAGGGAGCCCAGACTGCTGGTTAGATTAGATTTCTATCTTTCAGGCAGCTATGATAGGTGAAAATGTTCACAGGTATATGGTGAGCTATTTCCATTCCTTCACATGAGACTTGATTTGATTAAATGAATTAAATCCTATAGGTAAAACAGATGGGAAAAAACCTGCTTTAAGTAGTTGTGCATGCTTCCACCAATTTGTATTTAGGAAGCTGCGGCACTTTACTTGAGAACACACATGTGCAGGTAGACAGTTTTGTGAGCCTATTTCTTCAAGGAGCTGTGCAAAATAATTGTTCAAAGCCTTCACAATATAGATTTAGTATTTTTTTCACAGCTTACTTTATCATCAGGAAAACAGAGGTAATATTTCTCTTGCTTGCTGAATTTTCTTGCTAGCTGTATTCTTTCACTCTATAATGGATTCCGAACTAGGGCCACATCTCTGCTCTGTTTCTGGTACCTGAAGGTTGTGGTCTGTAGACAACATTACAATGCAAATAATTCCTATTTATATTCTGTGACTATTTAGACTTTGACATCCTTTTTTTACAACGTCTAGTGCAGCAGCGTTCTGATCTTTTTTGATACTTCCAAGCTTGCCGTAATACAAATAAAAATATCATGAAGGACATTTCTTTAGGGGCTTAAAGAGGTTTAAGCACCTGTACCAACAGTGATGCCATGTGACCTGCTTGACCAAATTTGTTTGTGGTGTTCCTCTTTACATACCAGTGTGCGGGTGTGTATTTCTTTCTATGATTATAAGTTTGGGTGCATGGATATCGGCTTCTTTGAGTTCATTAGCAAAACAGCTATCTAAAGTTACGCTCTGGCCATGAGTTGCACTCAAAAACTTGCTTAAGCCATTTCCTCTTTCACCACATTTCAGTGGTAGTCCTGAACCTGTACATTGTTAATTTATACATAGCAATCCAAACACTTGTGGAATAGATTTTGACCTTAGAAATGAGTAAAGTAAGTTTTGCTGTTTGAGTCCTAGCAAACAGGTTTCATTGTCCAAGTTCTCAAGTAATCAAGGGTGGGATCAGAGCAGATCTGTAACTATTCATGGCATTGTGACAGACAAAAAAAAAGTAAAGAAAAAAAAAAGTAAACCCAAACCATTCCTAGCAAAACCAGTGCTGAATGCTTTAATTTCTTAAAAATTAATCTGGAAAAATTCCCAGATCATACATCTGTCATGCTAATTTACAGAGGCTGAAGTCTAAGGGAGAAGCACTGAAGAGGTTCATTCTTCCTCTCTCCTTCGTGATTACTCCCCCCGCCTCAAATGTTTCCTGGCTACCTGGCAAGTTTAAGCATGAACACCTGTATTCTAGCTAGAATTTGCTGCATGCTGGTAGGTGCTGTTGTTAGTCCATCTGCCCAACAGTGTTCTTATGCATTGGGCTCGTATTTGTAGTTGGAGTCGACAAAGAAGGAGACAACATATTTGTTCCCCACTGCCACCTTGTTTATTCATCTTAAAGTATCTGCTATAGTTTAGTTTATTTGTTTCTTCTGTTAAAATACAGCTGTGGTACTGTAAATGACAAGTCATGCTCAGTCATCTTAAAATCACTGTGATTCATCTCTGATCTCATTTTCACAGGTTCTATGTCAAATAAGAGCTATTTTTGATTGCCTCCAGTTTCTGTGGCCAGAATCAGTTCACAGAGGCTGCTGGAAAGTTTTACTTCTTTTCATCAATATCCAGTCTGGTTGGTGACAATTTAGTATAAGAAGACCTAATACTTTTTCAGTTTGCAGATTTTGTTTTGTTTTGTTTTGTTTTTAAACACAAATTTGTCTTTAGGATAGCTGTGGTTGTTTTTGAGATAGATGTAAGTATCATGATGTTAAAAAAAATGTTCTAACTTCTACTACAAGATATACTAATGTTCCATCTTAGCACCAAATTAATTGCATTTCATTGACTGACACTTAAATCGGATTTTTAAATCATTTTGTTGTCAGTCTGGATCATCAGACACAGAAGTATCTAAAATGAGGATGTGTGATAAGTTTAGAGGTTCAATAGTCAATTTAATCTTCCGATTTTAATCATTCATAACCCAGTTCTTAAAAAGGCTTAAAATGCTTACAACAATTCTTCTTTTTCTTATATTATTACAACTTCTTATAATATTATGATAACACAAGTTGCAAAACTAATGTGAGCCAAAGATCTCTACTTCTAAACAGTGAGTTGTGTTAGACTCCGAGATTCAAATTTGACCAACTCAGTAAGCTTTGTAGCACTGTGTGGGTAATGCTAGAACAGAAGGATTTAAAAAAAAAAATAAATTAATTAAGCCTCTTAGAAAACTAAACTCTCTTTTTTAACAGGCATCTTTGGACAAATCTGGAGACATATCCAGTTCCGATGTCTCTAGTTCAAAAGCTGCAGCTTTAAAGGGGACAAGTAGGCCTCTGTAGAATGGTTTGAGAAAACAAAATTATTTTCAAGTGTCTATGCTTCCTATATAAGCAATATGTATATATCTATAAATACATATATAAACCCCACACACTGAGTGCTGCCAACAGTCACTATGAATGAAATGCAGTGAGAACAAGCAAAGAAAGCCTGGTTGCTGTCTTATGGTTAACCGTTTTGTTACACCCTTTTTTTTTTTTTTTTTTTCTGAATTCACAGATGTACACTTTCCCTTTCATGATGAATTCCCTTTAGTGTCACACAATAAAAGAATTTAGATATTTAATTCCAAAGCTGTATTCTTGAAATTCCTGTTCAAATCCCATGTAGTTAAGGAATTTGTATTTCAGAGATGCTGCAAACTGACCATAAATTTCCTTTGTACCTGCAGCTCCATTTTACAAATTGGAGCCTACATCATACCTAATAATATCAATGAGCTTCTTACGTATGCATCTGCTCTAAGAGATTTAAACCAGTGTAACATGCCTAAAGCTGACATACTGGGATGGGATTCACACAAATCTCATTGATATTACGCTTTCACCAAGTGGTTGTAGGCCTTACTACAGAAATGGAGCACCTGAGCTTTCATCATATTTCATGATCAATCCTTCTGTTTTGAAAAATTGCCATCTTAGTAAGTGTAATTAAATGAAAGCTGACATCAGTGAGATAATTCCCATTTGTATCAAAAGATTCTGAGTGAGATAGAGAGTAATTTTAGATGTAATTTCAACCTGGTCAGCACTTTGGCTTACCTTTTATTTACTAAGGATTCCTACCTGTGAACCAAAAAGTGTAGTGAAGCTTCAGGGATATACTTTAGCAGCTCTAAAACTGTTGGAAACCCCATAACACCAACAGTCTACTGGTATTAAAAAAAACACGCTCCAAACACAACCATTACTACTTTAATGTTGCTTTGTATTTTAATAGAATATATAGCCACAGAAAAAAACACGCATAAATAATAATACAAAAGACCCATGTTTTCATTACCAATAGAATGAGTAAATGGATGTTTGCAGTGTTCTGCTTTGTATGTAACTTTACTTGGCAACAGAGGCAATATTTATAGTAAAGTCTATCACCGCTTATTAATGGTATACATTAGTGTTTTGTTACTTCAAAAAATGTTATGTTAAAATATGCAGAAATATTTTCAAATAAAATAACAAAATTTATCTAACAATTTATTAATTTTATTTAATTGTTTAAATAGAAAAGCATGATGAACCACTGAATGAAGCAATGTAAATATATTGATTTCATCTATCCTAATTGTTGTAAGAATTTATAAAGCCTTAATGAAGCCTCAGGGGACAATTCCCGACCTTGTTTATTTAAAAAATTCTAAAAAAATTTTGAAACCACAATACTCAAGTAATTTATATGAAAGCAGAGGACTAAGCAATACATTTTTTCCATTCCTGATTATGAAATACCCTTCTTATTAGGAAATTTCTGTTCAATGAATATTAAAAATGTTTGGGGATATAATGTTGCTCTTAAATTTATAGTAGGAAAGTATTTTTTCGAAATATTATTTATTAGATTTCAAGTATTGAACTGACAATTTAATTTTCCTTGAAGTGAATACACTAAGCAAAGTAATTGTATAGACTGTTTACTCAAGCCAGAAGTTTTAAACCACCTGAGTATATTGCCTCATAATCAGCTGTGGAATTTAAATGCAGAATAATTATACACTAGCAGTGAATTTCCGCAGGGAAAATGTTAGAGTTCAGTCCTGAGATGTCTTCTATGTAATAGTTGAAACAATTCTATTTGAAAATTCTTATTTTTTCATGAAAGAATTGACTGTTTTTCTGACATCAGCTGCACACAAAGTAGCTAATGGTTATTTCCAGTGGACAACAACTGTAAAGTTCAGATATGCAAAATAAGCAAGGTTCATAATTACTATGAATTGCAGGGGAGCCCCAAATCATCCAGTCTATCACCTTCACTTGGATGTTTGATTTCTCTTCTCTAGGGAATCCACTCAGGCTTGACAGGGAATGACCAACTTTATAAACCCAGCATGATTTTCTTTTTCTCTTACAAGCTTTCTAAGGCTCCATTTTGCCACAAGGCCATTCAGGTCATTTGTGAAGATAAAAATTTAGTTGTTGATGAAAAGGATTCAGGTTCTTGCAGCTGGAGTAGAGGTGGAAACAATCAGAATGGTTAGCCACTTTGGAGCAGGTGCTCGGACAGACTGATATATCACAGGTGCTATGCAAAGATCTTCAATTTTAAACTGCCCTCATCTCATCCTACCTGGGAAAACAGCTACTTATAACTACTATTGGGAACTTTCATGTTATTACTTCGTGTTTTCAACAACTAAATCCGTCATTTTTTTCTCTTTTGTTTGAAAAGTCAGCATTGCAAATTCTACTTTTGATATCAAATTCTTGTAGCAGTATGCATAGCAATAGAAAATAAAGATACACTTTCAGAGTTTGCAGGGACGTCTGCCTTACAGACCCCTGTGAAGATGCAAATCTTTGAGAAATAGGACCTTGGTGAACAATTTCGCTAATTAATTGCAAACTGCGATAGAAGTCAACTTATTCTTCTATGGCTACGTATTCTCTTCAGAGCTGACAATAGGGAAAAATAATAGAAACATCTATTATCAAATAAGAAGAGATGACTGAGAATACAAGTAAGGTTTAATTTTCCTTTCATTTAACCTTTTGCTTTTTACTTTAACCAGTCTACTATAACTAGTCTTGTAACTGTGCACTCAATAATCAGACAAATACTATTTTAATTTAGTAAACAATTGGTGACTTTAAAAATCTCATATGGAGCTTTATAAATCCCTCACTAAATAAAAAATATTTCTAAAGGTCTGAAGGAAATACAAATATGTTTGAATTAATAATTTAAAATAACTGTTAATCTTTGTTGCTGCTGTAGTGATTTTTCCCAAGCTAAAACTAGCTTGCATTTATTGGTTGATTAAACTTTGCTCTTTATGGATTCTTTGTAATGTAACCAGAATGCAGTATTGTAACTCGATATGATATTTCTTATTAGATGAGAAGATACACAATTTAATTGTGTAAATTAAAGACAGTCTTACACATATTTATTCAAATTGTTAATTTTTACTTTATTCTCTTCAAAAAGTGATGCACTTAATGATTGTCTTTTGGTCTGGATTTGAGTGAAATTAATTTTGTACAGAAATTTGAAAACAAGAAAGTGCAAATATTAAGAAGTTAAGATTTATTGCTTCAGCAAAACTACTAACCGTGTTGGATAAATAAGAAAGCTATTCAGAAAAACATCAGTTGTGTGTAAACATCCTCCTAGTAAAAGCAAAGTAAGCAAAGTAGTCAGCATTGTGTTTCCTGGAGGCCAGCTATCACGGGCAATTACTTACTTCTTGCCTTGAGACCTTTCTGAACTGGATTATTTAACAAAATAAGAATATTCATGGTTAGTGAAATTAATTGACTTTTTTCTCCAGACATTTTAGAATACCTAGATCTCAGCCTTTCATAAATAATTTATTTACCTCTTGGTTTCTTGAGTGAATTAGGGATTTAAGAAAACTGAACTGCATTATTCCCCTCTATTACTTCAATAAACTATAGATTTGGGTGCCTATTCGGTTTTCTACCATCCAGTGGTTTAGCTTTTTAAAAAATTTGGCAGCTAATTTTTATCTAATTGAATAATCTCATTTAAATTATTTTCATATAAGAGATTGGGATCTTGGGGTATAGTTTTTGTGACTATGCAAATACCAAACAATAGAATATGATGTAGAAGTTGTCTGTGTCAGGTCTGGTTCTGCAAAGAGGGTCCACATATTTATAAAGTCAAATTATCATTTTTTAAAATATTATTTGAATGATGTATAAAAAAATAGTTTATATTCAAAGTTCTTAGCCATGTGCTGAGCCACATCTTTCTCTGAGATACTGAATGTTCCCTTGATGTGTTTTAACCCATAATGATATTTAAGGAAGCTGAGCTATTACACTCTCAAAAGGATTAAAATAAATCTTTTGTTTTGGTCAAGAACCTAAGCATAGAGCCAGAATGGAATGTCTCCTCTTTTGTACTTAGCTCTGTTTTCTAGTAGTGGAAGCATTTAGAGCTCAGCCTTTTATGAAATCCATGCCAATTCCATGTCTGACTCCAAGGCTCCGGCAGTTCTCCAATAACTTTTACACTGGGGTTAAGGATAGAAACTAATTAAAACTATTGTTATAAATTTAATTGCACCACTTTGCTTTGCAGTTGTTGGATGAATACTCTTCAACATTTTGTTTCAGCTGATTTTATTTTGATCCATCT